CAAAGAGCTTGTGGCCATGGTGGAGTTTGATATGGGATTTGGGGGGGCTCGGGTACAGCAGAGGAGCCCTCATGGCCAAGAACGCCTCTCACCAGCCAACCTGCCGTATATCTTGGTCTATGCCGACGATCGAGCTATAGATGAACCAAACAGCGTGGCCATGTCACTACAGAGGTATGGGCCTTTTCCAGCAGGGGATGACTCATCCGCCTCAACGTCAGCCTCGAGGATTCGGAGGGAGCTTCATCTACAGATCCAAACCAACGACATCCCGGAGGCGCACTTCAATAACCTGAAGAACCACGAACTGTGGCAGAGCACATATTTCCCAGCAAAAGCAAAAACTGTGGTCAAAACGGGAAGAAAGCAGGGCCTGGTAAGCAGCGAGGGCTTGAGCAAGCCACAAGTGCTGAGCTTTGATGAGAGGACGATGAAGAAGGCCAGGAGGAGACAGTGGAGTGAGCCCAGGGTTTGCTCCAGGCGCTACCTCAGGGTAGACTTTGCAGACATCGGCTGGAGCGAGTGGGTGTTGGCACCAAAGGCTTTTGATGCCTACTACTGCGCCGGGACCTGTGGATTCCCCATACCTAAAGTAAGACATGAAAACCTTCTTATTGTCACTCCAACCATTAGCTGATTTTTTTTTTTAATTCAGTCAGTAGAATACTTCACTATTTTACCAAATCCACAAGTAGAAAAACTATTAAAACTATTATAAAAACATGAAGTTCTCTTGTTATTGTACTAATAATCAGTCCCTTACAACTCCTTACTTCCTCAGGTGGCACGTCCTTCCAATCATGCCACTATCCAGAGCATTGTCAGAGCTGTGGGAATTGTCCCTGGTGTGCCTGAGCCATGTTGTGTTCCAGACAAGATGAGCCCCCTCAGCGTCCTTTACCTGGATCCAAGCAGGAACATGGTGCTAAAGGTTTACCCAAACATGTCTGTGGATACATGCGCCTGCCGGTAGGGCCACTGCATGAGCCACTGGAAACTGTGATCAATGAATAGGAGACAATGAATACAAAGAAAGTGTAGACTCAGCGCGTAACAGGAAGCTCGTGTCAGATGGAAGAACAGTTGTAGAGAGAAACAGCGAGAATAACTGATACATACAGAATTTTCTTCCAAGATCTTGGCCTTGTTTCGTGTCTGCCAGGATTGGACATTGCCTTAAGTATTTTTCTGCTTGTCTAACAGTGTTCATAGATGCCTTTCATCCAAGTTTATTTTCTGAAAATGCTCGGGTGCCCTTAAAGAAACACGTGTTTGTATTACTTTTAATCTACAAGTTCCTGCAAGTAGATCAAGCTCCCACTGATCCTTAAAAAGCTTTTTTATTTATTTATTTGGAGCAGTTTATCAAGTTTTTTCTCTGTTGTTTTACCATCACCTTGGACTCAGACTTAACTGGACTTGGTTTGGGAATCTGCTCAGACTCCTCAAAAGAGCTCAAAAAAGGCTGGATTTCAGCAGCTAATCAAATGTTCTGAACTGTGGTCAAACTGATAAGAAGAACTTTGGACACAGATGCTACACGGCAGCATATTCATATTCTCTGTTACTCAGCATTTGTCATGGAAATCATTACACATGAACATTAAGTGGTACTTAGTGAGTTTAGCCCTTTATCATGCATAAGAGGTCATATCTTCTTCAAACTATATCTCAGCAACTATTTGTTTATATCTTGTATATACTGAGTGTATTTTGCCATACGGTGACTGTTAATGCATTGAAAGCAGGGTTAAGCCCGTTCACCAATCACACATAAACAATGCACTGCTGCCACCTGCTGTGCATTTTGTTCAGTTGAAAGGATGTCAAACTTGGACTTTCTGTACTTCCCGTGTTTATTCACTGCTTCCTTTAAACACTAAAACATTATTTATCCATAAAGACATGTACAGTTTTTAATGTGTACAGTAATGAAAGTAGATTTCCACAGTAACTAAAGGAGATATTGCTAAACTGTAATCAAATATTAATGGGATGTGCTGATGTGTGCTTTAATAGACCACAGACTTGGTGTATGCTTGGTGTAAAAATAAACTGAATTGTACATACTGTCAAAAACACTTGTTAACGTAGGTTTTTATGTATTAAAGTATGTATACCTAACCATAACATGCAGTACTTTATACACACTGTACCTCTTGTCATGTAACATTAAATTTCATATATAAAGATGGAGGGAAAAATTAAACATTTCACTTTAGAGGAAGTGCAAAATTGTTCACCTTCATTTTATAAATACTTATTTCCTGAGGATGATAACGCTTGAATCATATACCTTAATAATCAGCAGATGTCAGTCCAGTTTAAAACCTACTACAGACTTTGGATGAATATGCTCTCGACACTACTAACATCATCAAATGAGGAAATATATGTTGAGCTAATGGTTTCCATGTCTCCAGTAGATTTCCAGCAATTAAAGAACCAGTGCCAAAGGGTATTTGTGCTGACCTGAGACACTTTTGTGAACTTTCTCTTTAATTTCCAACTTTGCTGATGTTTTATCCAGCAAATTGGGACATTCTGATCTGTAGGTTTGCTGATTTTATTTAATTTTATTTAATTTATTTAGAAAGCGGGACAATACATATTAATGAACATTTTAACAAATGTAGATATGCCAGATTATAGCCTTGGATAATTTCCATCTGCAGACCCTCTGGCAGGTTACAGGTTTTTGTGTTTTTTTAAATAGTGGCAGGTTAGTGCTTTTAGTTATGAATGCTAGTCTACATGACCTGTAAATACATTTGATTAAAAAAAGTTTTGTGTTTGTTTTTGTTTGGTACTTTATATAAACCGCTGTGATATGTAAGTCACTATTGATGATAACCACAATCCCAGCTCCAAATCCCAACCCTGCTGTCTGGAGACAAGAAAAAAGTATTTAAAAATACATTTTTATTTTATTTTATCCCCTAATTGCCAATAATTGGGAGAATAATTTTTTAAAAAAAGCACTTTTTGATAGCATAGTGTTACACTTAGGCTCATCACCAGTGACGACTTAAACTTCAAATTGTTAATGTAATGTATGTTTTGAAGATTCAGAGTAGCTGTTACAGGGCAGGAGTCGCTTGTATGAAGCTACAGAGAATATCACCACATAACAAAAACAAACGTAGACCTCATGGAGACTATTAAGGTCTTTAATCTAACTGTTTTTATTGCCTAAAAATGTTTTATTCAGGTTGGAGACTGATTTGCTACCTGATGAGAAAAGAATCTGGAACAAACATGCAGCATACTGACAAACGCCTGACCTTGAAAACAAAGCTTGGGCCGAAACATATTGCTGGTATGACACATGATCAAGTCCTCACTACCCTAAAACATTTTTATTATTTCTCTTTCCACAAGTTCATCCAACTGATCAGGTGACTGCACTTTAGATCATATTAAAGTTTTCTCATCGTGTTTGTTTTCCTTCTGCATGCCTACACTGTTTGCTGTACCCATGCCAGTACATTTGCTCCCCGTCTTTCATCACTGATGGACTCCATAGAGCAGACCTCTTAAGACCATGAAAGGGCCACAGCGAAACCATTTTGTGAAACCCAGAGTGAACCAAGTAATAAGAGACTGAATGATTGAGAAGAAGAAGAAGAAGAAAGAAATTCCACTATAGGTCGGATGTAAGCCAACGTCCCCAGACTCACTGGCTTGAGGTTTGGGCTCATCCAGTTCGTCAACATTCTTCCATATGCTGCTTTGCGTCTGGTTCTTCTTCGCACACAGGAAGTGCACAACAAGAGATCCAGTCACACACTTTTTTTAAGATTAGTCCACAACATATAGAACTTGCCTGATATGCAATCTCTTATTTTATTTTTGTAGTATCTGTACTTTTACAGTAATGCATTACTGCTATTAAATCTCTCCAAAACTTCACACAGGGTCAGCACCACATCTCATTGTTAGTTTCTTTCATTTTATGAAAGAGTTTCCATTGAGACAAGAAACTCAACATAAATACATTTTGAAATCAAACACAGATTATATTATTAATATTTTATCAGTATAAATATGATTGTAGCACATATGTCTGTACATACTCTATCACCTCCTTAATGTTGGGACAATCTGAATGAAACAAACACAATCACACATACAGTGATTATTAATATCAATATGTTTAAAAAGAAACATTTATTATCAATCCAAATTCTTTGGCTTTTCGTGTATATTATGTTAATTTCATCAGCCCCCTGTGAATATGATGTTATGCTCTCCATTGTGTTGCCTGTACATAACTTAATCACCAAAATGTGTATCCTCAGTGGACTCTGTGGGACTAGCAAGAGTTTAACATGAGTATAATGGTTGTAAATAATGGGATTATTAGGTCATTGTAAAGAACTTTTGCATTTGCAAAAACAAGTAGTGTTTTAGCAATGGGCTAGAAAACCGATGCCAGAGATGTGAAATGTGAAATATGCACACTGATAGGATTGGTTGGATCCTGCTGCCTAATTAGAAATTTAATAAAAACATGAACATTTCTTGACATTTTGACAACAGCACTGAAACCACGAGAGCTACAAAGCTAATCTAGCTACAGATTTTAACAAGCAAGGCTGTTACGCCTTCAAGCTGACATTTTATCACTTTTTCTTTCTTTCTTTTCCTTTTTCTTTTGGCTGGTTTCGTTATGAAGCCACATCCGAGTTGGGGAAAGTAATTTTATAAATGTCTGTTTTTCAGTAACCTCGCAATTTCCAGCACCCCCTTCATTATCCCTGTCAACTGTTTACAGTGTCTTCATTAGCAGACACCCCTCTAATGATAACAAAGCTTTAAAGAAGGCATCAGCTGCAGTGATAAGCATGGCCAAGCTACTATTTTGGTTGACACAAGTCCCCCTGTTTACTCTGGGAGCATGGGAGCGGACACCAGGAGTCTGATATGTGTACTGAGAATTGCCATTTTCAAAATTTGCCACAGCAAAGTCTGTTTTCGAGCAGGGGAGACGGTGAAGTTCTCACCAGTTTAGTCACATTCAAAATGCAGCTCTCCAGAAGCTCCCTGTTCCAGGTGTGTTTAAGTCTGGTGGCTACCATTGGTTCCTGCCACTGTAAACCTATCAACAATGACATCAGAAGGAACATGGAGGAACTCTACTCTCAGCTCTCAGAGGACCTTCTGGAAGAGGAAGAGACAGATTCGAGGATGGAGAACCTCCTGGGAACCATGAAGGAGGGTTTTCTGAGACAGCTCAACTTGTCAGATGTTCCTCAGGAGCACAGCAAGATCATCCCCCCTCAGTTCATGATGGAACTGTACAACAAGTATGCCTCGGACACCTCGGCAGCCCCTCAGTCTGATGTCATACGAAGCTTCACTGTGCAAGGTATCTGAATTGGATTTAACTGGACACAGCAAAAGTACACTCTGAGTTACATGTAGCTGATGGCAGAGGGACATTCATGGATCATGAAAATGAGTCTTGTTTATTCCAGTATTCCAAATCAAGACTCATATCTGGAAAAGCCACCTTGAGAAATGCACATTTGTGTTATATCTGGTTTAGATCTTTGCAGCTAACACAGGTAATACAGGTTTCCCTCTTCAGAGCTACAACTAGCTGATAAATCCACATTGCTATTTTTTTCTTGTTTCTTGAAATGTTCAGCTGGGGTAATATTAACATTTCCTAGCATATATGAGCTGAAACTTCTTAGAAATAGAGAAATATTTGCTTCTAAGCCCTCATCAGTGGCTTTTCCTTTGCTATTACATGATTTTATATATTCTGGTGAAGATGCAGAATGTAAAGTACCAACGAAAGTATCCCCAGATGATTTCCTTTGATTGATTAGCCAACGAGAACTGCACATCAGTTTCTGTATTATGGTTACTGCCTGTGTGGTCTTTGGATCTCTAGTGTTCGTGAACTGTTTTTGGTCTCGACAGACAGATAATGAATCTATCAAATATCATAATATTGTCAATGTTAGGGTACTATTTTGACTCGGATTTCACTTCTGACTGCAATAGGTACACAGTCCATGGCCGACCATGACAATCCCTGCTGCTGTTTCAGATGTATCAGTGATCAGGGTGTTTTTTCTCTTTGACAGATTTTACTCTCTCTATGACGAATGGGACAAAGTCAAAGTACAGGCTGCAGTTCAACATCAGCATCCCCAGCCATGAAAAGATCACAACTGCTGAGCTGCAGCTTTTCTTCTTCCCAAACGTCAGGCCAAGAGTCACCTCCCACAGTTTCAAGATCATGGTTAAAGTCTACAAAGTCGACACGAACAATTTCACATCCTCGGCCCAACTGCTGGTGGGCAAAGAGGTGGCAGGCTCTCAGAGCACATGGACAACGTTTGATGTGACCACGGCTATTCAGAGCTGGATCAAGTCAGGCCCTGCACCAACTGTTTTTGACGTAGCGGTGGATATGAAAGATTGTGGGGATTCTGGAAGCGGGGCGGCAGGGGCCAGCTGTTTAAACATGAGCGTGTCCGTCGGCGATAATACCTCCGCGGCTTTGATTGTCTTCTCAAATGACCTCAGTAACAGGAGGAGGGAGATGAAGAAGGAACTAAGAGAGATGATCCTTCATGAAGAAGAAACCATCCTACATTCAGGGGCTGACTGGAACAGAGGAGATCAGCTACCAAACGAGATCCCTGATTCTCAGCACCCACAGAGAACAAAAAGACGAGCACCGAGGGAATACTGCCGGCGGACCTCGCTCAAGGTCAACTTTAAAGACATTGGCTGGGACAGCTGGATCGTGGCGCCTCGGGAATATGATGCCTTTGAATGTCGCGGCCAGTGTTACCATCCACTGACGGATGAGTCATCTCCATCAAAACACGCCCTTATCCAGACGCTGATGAACATGAGGGACCCCAAGAAGGCCAACATGGCATGCTGCGTCCCAATCCAACTTGACCCCATCACAGTCATGTATCAGGAGAATGGGCGCATCACTATAAGATATCTGTATGAAGAGATGAAGGTAGCAGAGTGTGGCTGCAGGTAGTTTGCCCTTACCCTAGCAAAGGTAATGATCATCCTAAATTTACATTTTATTCCATTTAGTTCAATGTTCAAGGATAACAGGTCATATGGCAACTTTCATGCCCTGTATTGGTCCAAAAGGTTGTAAAATATTCCAGAGGGGGGTTTTTTGTTTTGTTTTTTAAAGTCTTTTCTATTAATTCTACTGATTTTTTTTTTTGATTGATCTGTTGATTCAACTGATATATGCACATGACTTATATGTAGAAAAAAGTTCAGTAGCAAACTATGGCTTCATGTGGGAAACGCCACCCTCCCTCGTGGAAGTTCATAATAAACGCGCACCACCTGTATTTAGCTTTAAGTTCTCCATATTATTTTATTCTTACCGTGAAAAAAGCTGTGATTAGCTCTTCTAGACTAGAAGGGGTATTTCTAATCTATCATTGTGGACTAGAATTCTCTACAGCGTGAAAAGAGATGTCATACAAGGCACAGGAGTCTGTTGATTGTGCTCAAAATAGCTCCCATCCCTAGGTTCAATTTTAAGTTAAGCTAGGAAGAAGCTAAACTTCAAGATAGGAACTTTTCTAGCAAATATTCAAAATAAATGAATACTAAGGAATAAAGAATTGCTCTAAACTATGCACCTATTTTTTGTCAGAAGTAATGTCCTATGCATAATTGATGAAAAACAAAACAAAACCTGGCAATCACTTAAATTAATACCCCAATGCTAACAGCATCACAGACTTGCTGCTTTTGAGAGTTCATTGTAAGATATGTGTGACATTTATTGTATTTAATTCTCATTATGTGTACATTAAAGGTTTCCCCTGTATGTGTGGAGTACATAATAAAAAGCATGTAAAAAGCAAAGTTAAACGAGTTTACTATTACAGGTAAAACAGGTATAATTATTGTTTGTAATAAGCTGGTGAAACTTAAATTCACATATAATCTCTGCTCATTTGCTGATATAACACATCTGTATATTGTTATTGTATGTATAAATTATTTATATTGATATATATCTGGTATTAGTCTGTAAATTATTAACATTGCATTCATTGACAGCATAAACATGCCCACCATGGGCTACTACAGAGGGGCAGAAGAAAAACATTGATAGGTGTGTATCTGTACTTATGATCCCTGAGAGAAAGAAATTACAGAAAAATTTATATTTAAAAGAAATAATAATTATTAGAATATTTGCTCTCAGTGTGCAGATTTTTACTCTCCTATATGTAGCATGATGTCATCATTTTGTTTCTAAGGTATTCCAACCCTGAAATTAATAAAAATTCTTGGTCTGTTCTCAGCCAGAAGTCTCCTTTGTGACTTACTCACCTCATCCTACATTACTGCATTAAGCATATTATATTAGTTATTAGCTAGTCCGTTGTTATTGATATTTATGGACAATAAATGAAATGCTGTGAGTGTCAACAGGGCACAGTTTGTCCACTAGAGGGCACTCTGCCACTTCCCTGTTGGCAATATCCATGAGTCTGGAAAACCACAAGCACATCAACCAGCTGACCTGACCATAGCTGTCCAGAGCATGAATTCATTAATATGTTCCTAAAACAACTGTAAACAAATACATATAACAAATCAGGGAAATCTGTCTTTTACATGCATATGAAAGGAAAAAACAGCCAAAATATCAGATTTTTAATCATCAAATATCACCATTGCTCCTAAAAATCTGATATCAATTGGACTCAAAACACAAGATACAGCTGGCTGATCCACAAAGACAATTAGTCATTAGGTACTGAAACTCTGAACTGCTGCTATACAGTGGAAGACTAATAAGATGATTAGAGGCAGGTGATGAAATAAAAAATATCACAGTTATTCACATTGTGCAATACTGACTTTTTATTGCACAGAGTAATAGTGTTACAAAAAAAACCTGTATAATGTCTCCATGAATGCTATTTTCCAAAAGTCCACAAATTATAGAAAACAACAAAGAGAAAGAGAAAGTGAGGTTCTACATTTTAATGTAATCGTGGAAAAAATGACTGTATAAACTAATGGCTATTTGGAAAAAACAATTAGTTATCCCCCTTACACACACTCATCATACAGTAATCTATACTGTCAGCTGTGTAAATATTAAATGTCAGTGACATAGTCTTATCTGAGTTCGACCCACCATGTTGAAATCAATGAGGGGACAAGTTTGTGCAAACACTTCCATGTCCTGTAGCACTAAATTGATCTTGTTTTAAAATAACATCAGTGTCAGGGTCAGAATTCCTGTTTCCTGAGAACCAAGGAAAAAGCTCCATTAGTTTTTGCTTCATAACAGTGTGTTCCTCCAATCACCAACAGCATGGGACAACAGAGCCTTTAAGCCTCTGCTTCTACTGTTTAATATTATCATTTAAGAACAGTGATTAGAACAGCCATGAAAGGCAAAATGAAATGGACACTGATGATTCATGTGTTTGTTCATTCCTGAATGTGTGTTGGCAACTCAGCTCTAAATCTTGCTGACATTAATACGTTTGACTATCACAGCTAACATCTTAACTCTTACGCCACTTCATTTCTACAGTCTACTTTCTGAATCAGTAATTCAAGAATGTTAACCCTTAGGTATTTTATTATCAGCAAAAATGATATAATCTGTTCTTTTATTTGACACAAAGTGACAACATCAGGAAGTATTCAGTGTTTTGAAGTTCTCGACAAGCACCCTGGGAATTGGATGAGACTGGAATTTGTTATGTAAAGTATGAGGCCGTAATAAAGACTAAGACGTTAAGATTAGCACGTCTAGTATTTGGAATAAGCTCGTGTCTGGCACTATTAGTTGTGAGCTGGTCTTATGATGCCTTGCTGTTTAAATCTGAGTAAACAATGGAAAGTTACCAGCTATCAATGTTCTATTATATCCAAACTTTTCCTTGTTGTGAAAATAAGGCATTCAATAGACATAAAAACTTTCCACTCAACTGTTTGTTCCTTAATTCAAAGTGTGGGTGTTACACACACTTTGAATTAAGGAACTTGTTACCCAGTTCTGATCCTGGATGTGTTTTAAGAAGGCTTTGTCTGTAAACTGTGTAATCATGTCACCAGTGAAATGACCCAGACATGACCCACTAAAGCTACCAACAGCACCAAAATACACCACCATAAGCTTTCGTAACAGGCAAGGAAGAAAGAGGGAACAAGGAGTGGGAGTGTTTCAGTTGGGGCTTTGGCACAAATCAGTGCAGCCTCATTTATCACCTTTTTAGTACTGAGTATTCCACGGGGAGAATTTGGTAAATGATGCAGACTGTAATAGAAAAATAAATAGAAAAATAATTCTAATAAACAGTAAACTGTCTTTCAGTTACAAGTGTTCAAACTAGAGGTGCCAGAACCCAAACCTCTATTACATTTGTGTCAAAAACAGTGAGAAACTGTACCTCCCATCCATCCATCCATCCATCCATCTTCATCCGCTTTATCCGGGGCCGGGTCGCGGGGGCAGCAGCCTAAGCAAAGAGGCCCTGTACCTCCCATTTATCATTTTTCATTCTGTCTGCTATTGTCTGCAGGCTGAAGCACTACATATAATGCGATTAAAGGTTTATTGTAGACAAAAGCCTCTTATGTTGATGTTGCTGCCCAAAAAACCTTTGACAATGACATATTCCTTCCAGTGAAATCCACAGTCTCTGAACACAAATCAACTAACACAACCCAGAAAAACCAAAGACGGAGGTGGTTCTCTTTCTATCAGCGTTGATGAAGATATTAGAGATGGCGCATACGACAGTGCCACTTCTGTTGATGTTTTTTCTATGTACTCTATCCAGCGACTCGTCATTCCAGCCTGCTCTAGTATTAGAAATGGCCAAGATTCTTTTGGAAAACTACTGCTTCCCTGAGAACCTGGTTGGGATGCAAGAGGCCATCCAACAAGCTATCAACAGTGGAGAAATCCTACAGATTTCAGATAGGAAGACCCTGGCAACTGTGCTCACAGCTGGAGTACAAGGAGCACTGAATGATCCTCGGTTGACCATTTCCTATGAGCCTAATTTTGTCCCAGTGATGCCACCAACTCTATCATCTCTTCCAAAAGAACAGCTGATCCGGCTGGTGAAAAACTCTGTCAAGGCGGATATCTTGGAAAACAATGTTGGCTATCTACGGATAGATCGGATCATTGGGGAGGAAACAGCAGTAAAGTTTGGCTCGCAGCTCATGGGAAATATCTGGGATAATATTGCTCACACATCCTCACTAATCTTTGACCTAAGGTACAGCACAGCTGGAGAGCTCTCTGGAGTTCCTTTTATTATCTCCTATTTCTCAGACCCTGAATCCGTTATTCATATTGACACTGTATATGACAGGCCTTCAAATTCAACCAGGGAGCTATGGACCATCCCATCTATAGTGGGGGAAAGGTATGGAAAGAAAAAAGATGTCATTATTTTGACCAGTAGATGCACAACGGGGGCTGCTGAGGCAGTGGCGTATGCTCTAAAAAACCTAAGGAGGGCCATCACAGTTGGAGAAAAGTCTGCTGGTGGGTCGGTGAAAGTCCAAAAAATTAGGATTGCTCAGTCGAAGTTCTACATAACAGTTCCTGTGGCAAGATCTGTCAGCCCAATTACAGGTCAGAGCTGGGAGGTCACTGGTGTTTCTCCAAATGTCCACATTATTGCCAAGGAAGCTGTTGCAAAAGCCAAATCACTTCTGGCTATAAGGAATTATATTCCAAAAGTTGTCCAAAGAATCTCTGACAAAATCGACCGGTTCTACACGTTTACTGAAAGAGTTCCAGCTCTTCTTCAACTCTTGGAATCTACAGACTTCCTGTCTGTTGTATCTGAAGAGGGTCTAGCAATCAGACTCAACCAAGTGCTCCAGACTGGGTCTGAAGATCCCAGACTGACAATCAAATACATGCCAGAATATGTAGCCAATGTAGAGGAAGGCCATGAACATGACAAAGTTCCAGACGATCCTGGACTATTAACGGAATACATTGATACATTGCACAAAGTGGAAATTCTCCCAGGCAACACTGGTTATGTCCGCTTTGACAAGTTTGTCAAGTCATCTGCTAACTTAGAAGAGGTCATGACTAAAAAGGTATGGGTACCCCTCAAAGATACTGCTAACTTGATTATTGATTTGCGCTATAACACCGGTGGATCCTCTACCTCTCTAGCCATTATTTTGTCTTATCTACAGGACACATCACAGAAGCAACACTTTTTTACAATATATGACCGAATTCAGAATAGTACAACAGAACACAACACTTTGCCTAAAATTACAGGACCAGCGTATGGCTCAAAGCGGGAGATTTACGTGTTAACCAGTTATTACACAGCAAGTGTTGGCGAAGAGTTTGCTTATCTGATACAGTCATTACATCAGGGCACAGTCATTGGGGAAATAACATCTGGTACCCTGATGCACTCAAAGACCTTTAAAATAGAGGGGACCAATATTGCCATCACTGTTCCTTTCATAAACTTTATCGACAACAATGGAGAATTCTGGCTGGGAGGTGGGGTGGTACCTGATGCCATTGTGCTTGCTGAAGAAGCAGTGGACCATGTTCATGAGATTGCTGAATTTCACAAAGGACTAAATTCCCTCATACAAGGAGCTGGAGATTTGTTAGAAGATCACTACGCAATCCATGAAGTCGCGCTAAAGGTTAGCAAGGTGCTGGTAAGTAAATGGGCTGACGGATTATACCGCTCGGTGGTTGACTTTGAGTCTTTGGCATTACAGCTGACAGCAGATCTCCAAGAGACTTCAGGTGATCACCGACTGCATGTTTTCCACTGTGAGGTTGAGCCTGAGTCACTTCATGAACTCCCAAAGATTCCTACAGCAGAGGAAATGGGCTATATAATTGATGCTCTTTTTAAAATTGAGCTTCTACCAGGTAACATTGGCTATTTAAGGTTTGATATGATGGCAGACATAGAAGTGGTAAAAGCCATCGGACCGCATCTCATAAAATCTGTTTGGAGCAAGATAAAAAATACAGATGCCCTCATAATTGATATGAGGTACAACAGTGGTGGTTATTCAACCGCGATTCCACTTTTGTGTAGTTATTTCTTTGATGCAGAACCTCTACACCATCTCTACTCTGTTTTTGACCGAACAACAACCACAATGACAGAAGTCATGACAATTCCAAAGGTGAGGGGTCAAAGATATGGATCCTCCAAGGAACTATTCATCTTGACCAGTCATATGACTGGGTCAGCAGCCGAAGTATTCACTTGCACAATGAAGGACCTAAATCGGGCCACAATTGTTGGCGAGCCAACAACTGGTGGGTCTTTATCAAGTAGAACCTATCAGATCAGAGACACTGTCCTGTATGCCTCCATTCCTAACCAAGCTGTTTTTAGTGCCGTCACTGGAAAAATGTGGAGCTTTTCGGGGGTTGAGCCCCATATTGCTGTTCAGGCAAATGAGGCTCTATCTGTAGCTCAGAAAATCCTAGAGTCAAGGTTGCTGAAGAGAGTGCAAGGTAAACAATAAAAATGCAACAAAAATGACTAGTTAATTAGTTTTTCTGCTTAGGCACCACTTCAATGTAAATGTGTGTGTTGTTGTGTTCCATGTGTAACATGTGTGGCCTTGTAATTAGATGTTTTGCTTTTTATTTAATTTTTTTGGCTTTTTACAGCAAAGTGCAGGGATGGCTCAATAGGTAGAGTGTTTGCCCGATGCACGCAAGGTTGCAGGTTCAAATCACCAAATGGTCTCCACGCACTGCTCCTCGGTTGCTAGATTGGTAGCTACCCACTGAATGAATGAGCATGCTCACTCGCTGAGCTAAACTGGCACCTAAAGTAATTTGATTTTAAGTCATGGGTGTCAAACTCATTTTAGTCAATGGGTACTTTCCTCAGATTGATTTTAGATCCAAAGTTGTGGGTCAACTCAAGGAAGACAGTGGTTTTAGAGAATCTTGAAACTCATGGGGACCTTGATACTTTCAAAAGAACTGTCTGTGTTTCCAGCACTTTTCCCTAGGTTCCCACAGAGGCAGGCACTTGTTGGTCTTTAAAACAGTCAATAAGTAAAACAGCATAGGAGTGATCTTATATGCTGCACAAAAGGATCAGAGTATATGCTGGAAATCTTCACATTTAGCACACCGTTCATTTACAAAACTGATGAACAGATTTGTCTCAGTTTCTCAACATTTCTTCAGCTCACTTTTATTACATGCATTGAAAATCACTGGATTATTAAAGATCCAGCCCTCAAATAATATTACAGTACACTACAATAAAACTATAATAAAATTAAACTTTTTCCATACATTTTCACTCCTGTTCAATTAAGCTCGCTTAATCACAAGAAGATTTTATTTAAAAATTAGAAACTTTAATTCATTCTCTGCTGTTTTCACAATTGATATTGCAAAGATATTCAGTGGGACAGAGCTGACCAAATGGCATGTTTGACACCTTGATTTAAAGGCACTGTTTTTTAGTAGTTTAACAAAGAAGGTCTTCTATTATACTAAACTGTCATCAGTTGTTGGTTTGTTTTATATTTTTCTGGCATTAGGCTTCACGTAATCTAGTCTTTTTACTTTTTTCCACATGAACTCAACTTCACTTCAATATGAAATTTTAAGCTCCAAGAGCACTTGCTTGTTATTCCATTTAGAGAGACTTTGAGTAACTAAGTAGCACGAATTAATATTTGATCTTATTACAGAAGGGAATGTATAAGCTGTGGACATTTTAACTGTGAAAAGCATGTGATAGCTGATGATTCCTTTACAATACATTTGCCCCATTTAAGTGTGAATATTGTGTAAGTAAAACAACTTCCAGTTATTCATAATATAGGAAAGGTTTTCGTATTTTTTCTTTCTTCTTTACTTGTTTTCTCTGTGTTACTCTTTAAAATTATCACATTTTAAATTATATGTAAAATAATGTGGATATTCTTTAGACCCTGTCACGTGAAATCCCTGTTTGTTTTTTGTTTGAGTTTGCCTACTTGTTTTAGTGTACTTTTGCTTAGTTTACTGTAATAATGCTCTATTTTTTAGTTTTTGTTTTTTGTTTTGGTCTTTAACAAAAGAACAGTCCAGCAGAGGGAGCAAGTACCAAGCAAACAAACCTAAACTGATCTCCCTCTTTAGTTTTCATTTGTGATGCTTTGCTGTTAAATGTGTATAATTTCTAAAAAATAATAAAGACTTAGGTGTTTCTCAGTTATTGATGGAACATTATTGATGGTGTATTCAGCATTTGCTGGGTTTTTAATGTTTTTACAGTTATTCTCCATTTCCATTGTTTTCCTTCTTCAAATATTATGTAAGATTTAAGATATAATGTTGACCCCCATTTGTATATTGTATTTGCAGGTAGTGACTTACCCAGGTCATATCTTCACTACCCTTAATGCCTTTCTTGACCTTTATCAATTATAAAACTGACCTTATTTGACACAGGAACCTTTCACTCCAGGATACATTGCGTAACTCTAGCACCAGTATCTTTAGCAGCATCTACATAGCTAGGTTGTTATTACCTTGCAGAAGCACTCACGATAATGCGATTAGAGGTTTAATGTGGGATAAATCCTCTTATGAGTGTACTTACCAGAAACCTTGCAGCCAAAACAGTGCCATTTGACAGAAGACCTCTTTGGGGAAAGAGGTTTGGTTCAACAACGTGCATTTTGTGTCTGCTCGCTTTTTTGTCAGGCTGAACTGGCAAAAAATGGCAAAGACTCTCGTTCTGGTTGCATCTCTGCTAATTTTGGGAAATGTTTTCTTTAGCCATGCCTCCTTTTCCCCCAGTGTCATCGTAGACATAGCAACAATCATCTTGAACAATTACTGCTCACCAGAGAAGCTGGTGGGGATGAAGGAGGCAATCGAAGCAGCCAGCAGAAACACAGGTATTCTCAACATGCCAGATGCCGAAACTCTGGCGAATGTCCTCAGCAGTGGGGTTCAGCACACAGTCAGTGACCCACGCCTGAAGGTCTCCTATGAGCCAAACTACGCTCCTGCAGTTCCCCCAAAGTTGCCTCCTCTGCCCCCTGAGCAGCTCATCGCAGTCATCCAGAACTCCATGAAGCTTGATATCCTGGAGGGCAACATTGGCTATCTGAGGATTGATCACATCCTTGGAGAAGAGGCAGTTGAAAAGGTTGGTCCTTTGCTTCTAGACCTTGTCTGGAGTAAAATCTTGCCTACATCTGCCCTCATCTTTGACTTGCGCTACACTGGCAGTGGGGAAGTCACTGGGATCCCCTACATTGTGTCTTACTTCACCGAAGCTGAGCCTCTGATTCACATCGACAGCATTTATGACCGTCCCTCGAACACCACCACTCCATTGTTTACTATGCCGGATCTGCTTGGGCAGAGATATGGTGCAACTAAATCCATCATTGTCCTAACCAGCAAAAACACCAAGGGCATTGCCGAAGATGTTGCCTACTGTCTTCAGAATCTGAAAAGGGCCACCATTGTTGGTGAGAAGACAGCGGGAGGCTCGGTGAAAATTGATAAATTTAAAGCTGGTGATTCTGACTTCTATGTCACTGTACCAACTGCTAAGTCTATCAACCCCATTACTGGCTCCACTTGGGAGGTCACAGGTGTCACCCCAGATGTGGAGGTAAATGCTGAGGATGCCCTTGCTACCGCTATCAAGATCATCAACCTCCGTGCCCAAGTTCCAGCAATCATTGAGGGATCAGCAACCCTGATCGCTGACAACTATGCCTTTGAAAATATTGGGTCAGATGTTGCAGCAAAGCTCAAAGAGCAGCTGGAAAGTGGCACGTACAATATGGTTGTCTCCAAACAGAGTTTGGAATCGAAGTTGTCTGCTGATCTGCAGACCCTTTCTGGGGACAAGAGCCTGAAGACCACCAGCAACACTCCAGCCCTACCACCTATGGTAAGACACTCAGACTTGAGTTTGTTATTTTGTTTCAGTTTGATGGACAAAAGTTCCTGTTAAGCAAATGAACTGGTGAGCTATTTAAAAAGTAATGCATAGAAATATTGGTCACAATTATGATACATGTTAAGTTGGTGTCTGTTGCTTTCCACAGGATTATACCCCAGAAATGTACATCGAACTGATCAAAGTCTCCTTCCATACTGACGTATTTGAAAACAACATTGGCTATCTGCGTTTTGACATGTTTGGAGACTTTGAGGAGGTGAAGCCTATTGCCCAGGTTATTGTTGAACATGTCTGGAACAAAGTTCTCAATACTAATGCTTTGATCGTTGACCTCAGGTGAGTAATATTACTCGACGTGACAGTCCAAGTTTCTATTAAAAACGTTCCTTGTGTCTAAATCAGTCATTAAAGCTGCTATAGCTCAACAGTCTAGCTCTTAATAAAGTGGATTTGATCATTATTGAAGAATGTAGAATGATTTTTCCTCAAATCGTCAGGTTGATGTCCAGAGATAGCCTAATGTGGGTTGACATCCATCAATAAAAAGAAATCACAAATGACCATTAAATTTAACTAAGAATCAAACCTTTCCATCAATGAATTTGCAGGAACAATCTCGGGGGGCCAACAACAGCTATCGCAGGCTTCTGTTCTTACTTTTTTGACGCGGACAAGCAGATTGTGTTGGACAAGCTTTACGACAGATCGTCTGGAACCATCACAGAGCTCCAAACTCTGCAGGAACTCACCGGTAGTCTGTGTATTTTTTTGGATATGTGCAATAGATTTCCGTAGAAGACAGAAGTTTCAATAAGAATCTGGTAAAGATTCAAAACCAGAGCTGAAACGAGACGTTCATCTGGTATCCAGAAACTTGTCTCCAAATTGTTCCCATTGTTTCATTTATATATATTATTTATATATTCATTTATTTATATATATATTTATATTTGCAAGTCTGATGAAACAGTGATACACAGATTTATGAACAGACAAAAAGGCACCTTTGTTTTTTAAGACGAACAGACCAGCTGGCCTTGTGCTGGAGGTTGTAATGCTGAATTTAATACCAGTCTTTCAAAGTTATCTGCAGGGCAGCTGTGGTTAGAATATATCAAACTATTTTCTCATCTGTACCCTCACCTGGAACCCCACGATATAATCCAGCCTCTCTGGCATACAGTTATCCATATCCCTTTTCTACCAGCTTGTTATCATGCTCAAACTTAATCCTTTCCATTATCCAGAAATAACTTACTTCCCTTGTTTGCTTGACTTTCAGCCATATCTCTATCTACCTTTCTCCTATTCAGGTGTACGGTATGGCTCCAAGAAAAGCGTAATCATCCTGACCAGTGGAGCTACTGCTGGTGCTGCAGAAGAGTTTGTTTACATCATGAAGAAGCTGGGCCGCGCCATGATCATTGGCGAAACTACAGCTGGGGCATCCCACCCACCCAAGACCTTCCAGGTCGGCGAGACCGATATCTTCCTCAGCATCCCCACTGTTCACTCCGACAATTCCGCAGGGCCAGCCTGGGAGGGAGCCGGCATTGCACCTCACATTCCCGTCCCAGCTGATGCTGCCCTCGACACCGCCAAAGGCATATTCAACAAGCACCTCGCAGTTAAAGAAACCAAGTC